CGGTATAGTGTGGTAAGAGTGTGTGTGGTTGGAAAACGAAGGGGGGGGGGACACAAGAATCCGATTTCAGTCTACATGACTGAATGTAATGAAGAACGGGACGGTGGTATTCCAGAAGTTTCATGATAGTAGAAAAACATAATTGTATACTGCCATGATGAATTGAAAAAGCTGTNTGGGGTTGAATGGAAACAGATCTGAGCGTGGTTGAACCCATCCCGTTGTGTCGAGTCCTGTCGGTCGCAGATACGAAACCGTACTTCACGTGAATGCTGCCCACTCCTGAATTATCATTTCTTTACTCTGAATATACGCCGAGGGAGTGAGGTGTGTTAGTGTCGAGTAGGTACGAGGTACGATGAACTTTGATTGATACAAATGCTACGGGTTGTATGTGGTCATAAGACGCACACACCCGGTCACAAACACAACAAAGACCGCACGGAGTGAGTGAGAGGAAGAAAGATCCGGTTAGAGCACATGTGGCCGGGGGGAAGGGGTCACTCTGGGCAAAAAATCCAAGAAAAGATGATTATGATGGTGATCGTTGAACTAAATGAGAACAGCAGAGACACGATGAAAAGTTGGCAAGTTGAAATCCCGGTTATCAAATAGCGCGCACATGAACACCAGATAAACAAGAGGTGGACTATTGAACAGGGACAAACGAGCGTGATTTCAGAGAGAAACAGTTCATGTACGTTTAAGAAATTCAAAAAAAGAAAGAAAAAATGAATGAGACAACCCGAATCTATACATTATTTGGTTGACTGAAATAGTGATTGCATAATCGGTGTGTCGAACATCCTCGTATATGTCATTCGCGCAATGAGCAGTGCAACTGCCTGTGGGTGTGTGTGAGCAAGAATGAAATTTCCGATTAGCGACAAGACCCAAATCTGGAGTCGTCGCATCAGCTTTTGCCTTGTGTATACAAATTATCTATATATATATATATGCATAGTGAGTTTCAGTATAAAAGATGAACCGATGGCGTCCGCTTGTCACCATACTGTCGGCAATTGCGGTCGGTGTCTGTGGATTGCGGACCGCGTACGGATGAATTACTACTGAGAACAAAACTCCGAGTAGGATGGATGAATAAGAACGGGATCGGGTGGGGCGGGGGGAATATTGCACATCAATGCGCGTATGTTTGAAAAAAGTTATGTATACATACACGTACGCGTTTTGTGAGCGGATGATGATGATCCTGTTTCTATATGTGCAGTTTGAAATATGGTAAGTATTATCGTGGAATAGTGGAAATCCGCATTAGATCAAAGAATACGAAGATAATATTCGAATAGTAACAGTAATAGTGTTAATAATGTGCGGTGGCGTTGTGCCTGGAGGAGAGAAAAAAAGAATAAGAGAAATTCCTGGAACGCCATCACATAAACGCCAATCGATACGAATACCTCATTCCGTCTTTGGGGGGAATGGGGATAATCCAGATATGAGGACAATAGACGGAGGTATAACGGGACTGGTGACTGGGAAGTCGAGGTAGGATTATGTGAACTTCGGTTCACATATGCACGTATGGGCGCGAGCGGGAGTTGATCCGGTGTTGTGATCGATAAATCTCCAGTGCGCATCATTGCGTACGTAAGTATCGTACGCACACGAACACAGTCCTGTCGGCTTGTGTTTGTCTATGCACAACAGCTTTTCTGTGTGTGGTTGTGTACATACTCTTCACAATGGGCTTGGGCTCAAGTGTGCGGATCAGATGTAGACAGTTCAGACGGGATACGACCACACTAGGCGTCGCATGCATGTGTGCGCGCACGCGCGTGCTGTATGTTAGAACAGAAAACGACCGGAAGTCGCCTGGGACTCTCGATATGTTTCGGCCAAATAGGCCGATTTCGGATCGCGCCGTTCGGTTTGCGCTGTATAGAGACCGAGTTCGCGATGTGTGGAGAATTGGTCGTCCAATCCCGAAGGGGGCGGATAATAACCACGTGACTGTGCGTTCAACAGACTGTGATAATGTGCATGGGCACCCGGTGTTGGAGTGGGTGTGTTAGGTGGTGGAATTCCAAGGCCATGCCGTCCAGCCTGTTGTTGCTGTTGGTGGTATTGGTGGTACGCGTGATAGGCTGCAGCAAGTCCCGAAACTTCATGTATGGAGTGAGCCAGATGCGCGGCTGCCGCAGCCGAGTGAGGCTGCATATGGCTTGAGGGTGGTTGTGGATCCATCGAACGGGACAAGGCCGGGTGCATGTGTGACGAGGTTTGTCGCAAATGAGGCGAGTACAATTGGTACGGATCCGATACTCCTGTCGCGTGACCCATGTAATGCGCACTGGTATTGCTGCCAGTGTTGCTGCTGCTTGCGGTCGATGCGACCCCGTGATGGGACGACGATGGACTGCCAAACTCCGAGACGGATAAATGAGCCGCATGAAACCCGTGCTCGTTGGATGACGGTTCGGTGTGGGCATGTGCATGTCCGTAGTTTGCGTTGTCCGAGACAATCGGATAACGACTGTATGGGTTGCCGAAACCGGTACCGGACGGATGTGCATAGGGATTGCCTCGGGGTGAAGTAACGTCCAGCGAATGCCCCTGGCTATTTCCGCTCATGAAGCTCTGACTGTCACAACGACCTAAAATCGTATACAGATGAATGGGGTAGGAACACAAATAGTGATTTCACTGGAATCCTTAATTGGGGCTCGTGATCATATAGAAAACGACTAATAATATCTACCGAAATTATCGACGATCTAAAAGAAACACTCAGGAGTTGTAAACGCACATTTACATGATCATGTCAAACGAAGAAACATGGGAGTTGAAATAAGTCATTTGGACAAGTGAGGTGCGTGACGTTGAGGGTGGTTAGGAGTTGAGGTCAAGTTAGATGACAAAATTTGATATGGATGTGAATTGATCCAAACAATGTGAGGGAGGGGTGGTCATGGTAGGACGGTATCAAACGTGAAATCATCACTATCACGGCAATAACAGTTGCGTCAAAAATGCTTCGGTCGATGAATAACTATTGTTGCATAAGGGAATTCGTAGTGTGAAGACCAAATGAAGCGTGAACTGAAAAGATAAGAAGCACTGAACAGTTGTTTCGACCTGGTTGGGTCTCATCAGCAGTGCAAATTTATCGACCCGGGAGCTCACAGGCAGAACGCTTCCAAAAAAATCGCTAAGTCCGTGAAGTTCGAGGTCCCCTAATGACTCGAAACGCTTTGGGTGCGTCCACACGGTGATCGGTGTTTAACAAATGCCGGGCAACTGCAATAGACTGGGCGGTGGTGGTCCGTTGGTAACGTCACCAAATTATCACCCCGGAAGACGAGTGTTCGAATCCCACAACCATCACCTGAGTTACCTCACTGTGTGTGTTGAATGGTATCCATTGATTGGCCGCTTCCCCATTCCTTAAAATTGTACCATTGCATATTCAATAAAAGGAGGTAAAATAAAAAGATAAAGATAGATGGTAGTTTACCTCCGCGAATATCAAGGCGTTTCGGAACATGTTCATACATTCTGGCTGATAAACGACGTCCTGTCTTTCCGATGTACCTCTGACCGCATGTACATTGGAGGGAAAAGATACAATTGAAGGTCACACTGATGTTTTCTCGACCTGGGTTACTGCGCGTTCCGTAGACAATCATTAGCCTTGCGGCATTGTACGTTCCTTCTACGACTTATGTTAAATAACGAGATAGTTCTAATGTCACCTCATCTCCTCTTAAAGGTGGCTCCTTTTAGACGTCTTTCTTCTTGGCTAATGAGGAAATAGGCTTGGAGTTGGCCGCATTGGTGTACTTGTAAATGAATGTAATGGGATTACTATTGTCCAGCAAAGCATGGGTCAATCGGTCTAGTGCATCTGGCAGGACTTGCAGGTTACATAGTCGACGAATTCTGTAAAATAGAATAAGCGCCAAACCACGTTTTTATTCAACAGGACAGAAACTTCCGAGGTGCACATGCTGTCCTGTCCACGTAGGCTTTCAATACATAGATATTTTAGAGTAACCAGCGCTTCTCAGAGCTCAATCGACCACCAAAATAAACTGGATCATCCATGAGACGTTTTCTATCTATCCTGATCAGTCTCAATGAGAACTCCATACACATGACGCTAATAAGCATGAATCCCGGCTAATGTTAAAGATCAGATATTGCTTACTATAATTGGATTAAAGAACACCTGCCAACCAACAAACCTTTAATAATGTATGGGCTTTGGATCCGGTGAGAACAGTCGCTGTAGTTTTTTAGCAGTTAAATCAACTTACATTAATAATAGCTGCATACAGTGTATCAGCAGTTTAAATTTCTTCCTAGTGGGTATTCTAAATGGATTTTTGATATATAAAAATGAGGATATGAACGAATACAGATATAGAGCAGTTATATATTTCCGGTTGAAATGCACTCAGTTTGTATTTTTCAAAGGGGACAAGGTGTGTGCGATACGAAACTGACCAACTGTATACCACTTTTGGAATAAGTGCGAGTTCGCAACAATCCGTTTCTCACAGTCATTCATTCGGAGAAGCAGCGCAATGGGTATCCGTCAAAGTATCTGCAGTCCATGGACGACGGATTTATTCCAAATTCTTTTGTTGTCCCATTTGGCAAAATATCGATGAAATGCTAATAGGGTTATCTTACCACCACTAACCCCATTTCCAACTAACCCAAATGTACCTATTACGTCCGATTGTTGAGACCGTTGGCTTTTTCTACATCTCCTACAGTACACCACCGATGGTACTGAGTGTATGCATGAGCCCTGTTTGTGGCTGGTTTCCATACCGACAGTATCACCCATCCTGTCGTTTTTTTAATTGTATCAATACCCATATGAAAGTTACAAATTGTTCAAAATCCTCTGGTTTTATATCAGTCATCAGCCTGTAACAGTTATCAGTAGATTAGCAGCAGCAGCAACATACAACTGGCCGTTCATTTTACGTATAGGATCGTTTGTAACGGCAGCGAAACAGTCTCGTAACGCGATAGCATCATACGAAACCGACCTCCCTGANACACACACACACACACACACACACACACACACACACACACACACACACACATCTATGCCGTTTGGCCAGGGCAATGACCAACTTCACTTGTGAGAGAGTGAATCACGTGACCACACCAGCTTTGTCGTTCAGTTCGTGTCCGTTCGCTAGGTCAAATGCATGGAACGGGAACTCAATCAATAAACCGAACGGCCTGGTTGACCGAGGTTCATTGGTGAGCATCTGTTACAGGAGTGTGTGCGAAACAGAGCGATATCAACTCAGAGTCTCAACGTGTTCCACTGACTCGTCGTCATGTCACCCCAGCTAACCAATCATGCAGTCGATATGGCCTGCGTTGCACAAATGGGATGCAGTCTGAGGGATGACATCGAAAGCTATCGGTTGGTCGCTCCACCGAATTGTGTAGGCTCAGTGTGTGATTGAGAGCAAACAAAGAGGCATAGGGATTTTGTTGCCAATATAACTAACTAATCCTTCCAATCCCTCTTCAGATATAGGAGGTGAACTGGCACAGTGGCACGTGTACGGGCGAATCCGAACCACACCGCCCTTGTGGAGAAAAGTGTAACACGAACGAAACAGGGCAACCAGTCAGTCAGGTCGCACGGCTCGGTTTTGTCTCTGATGTGTACACAAAAACGAGACTCCGGTCTGGTGTGGCGCGTTGGGAAAATAGGGGGGTATACCTGGGCAAATAGTACAAACACACCTACGGGAAACAAATTCATCCCACTCCACGCTGACTCGGGCGAACCGGTCAGATCAGCGCCAGCGGTAGGTGTGTGTGCACGAACGCAAGGGATGGAGAGGGGGGGAGTAAATCCTCATTTCCACTTTCCTTGATATCACACCACGACAGATGACTCGCTCGCACACGTCCAACCGACCGATCAACGGAGGACGAATGAGTGACCGAACTAGCGCAACGAATAAAAACAGAAGTCCAGGATTCACGCAGCTGACGACACACATACAAACGCCTTTTCTTTACCTTCAGTCTCACACAAAATAACTGTTCACATACGCAACAGACCGCCCAACCCCTCCACCACATACGAGTGCACATACCCTTTCTGTTGTGTGGTCGGATGGGACGTGTTTGTGTTGTTGTTATTGCATCGAACTGACCCAGGCAATAGCGCCACTTCCGAAGGCCTCTCTGCATGTGGGCACCCACAACTCTCACAAGCACGTGACTTGCCTCCTCTTGGCTTGCATAACGGTTCAGATCTCCGATTTTCCTGGTCGTCGTCGTTCTGGTCGTTTTGGCCTGGAGTGCGAGGCGCGGGCGCTAACGGCACGTGTCACTCACCTGCACTACCGAGGCGGTGGTGATTGTGGTGATGGCACTTGCACGTGTTGTGTACGTGTGTGTGTACATACTCTTGTCCACATGCGCGCTCACACACACACACGTCCTATCTGTAAGTGCAGAACTATATACGACAACACATTCACAGGCTTTGGACAGTCAATCGACAGGTTCGGACACAGT